TTCATTAAAGGTCATAAAGATTTGTGTCCGAAGCTATCTCACACTGATGTAGTATACAAAATTAATTGTCGAGATTGTGAAGCATCATATGTGGGGCAGACTAGTAGATGTTTAAAGACACGAATTAACGAACATAGAAATCACATTAATTGGAACACCACGCAACATTCCGATATAACTGAACATAGAATTGGTCATCACCATGAATTTGATTGGGAAAATATTAAAATATTGGATAATGAAAGGGCACTCAATAAAAGATTGATTTCGGAAATGATCTATATTAAACAACAGAAACAGAGTTTAAATTTACAAAATGATACGTATACATTAGTTCCACTTTATTTAGAATTGTTCGCGGTAACGTGACGAAGTTTCTCTCCTTGGTCTTGTTTTATATTTATAACTTTATATTTTTATTTTTGTTTTAAAGACTACGTGACTTATTATTTGACTCTCATTTCGTCTCTGACTGTCGACACCACAAGATCTCGTTGTTGGTTTTGAATGTGAGTCTTTATGTAAGTTAATAAAATTAAATCCTGGTGCAAGTTTGCAGTAATTTTCTAATCGTTTTTTACTTTGGCGTGAATGATTACACAGGATATCTGACATTTGATGAGCAATGTGTTCTACCCTTTTGACATAATGTACTGGATTCGTTCTCTTTTTATGTAAGTTTATATCATTGTATTTATTCATATTTTGACGTAATGTTATTTATTTAAAATTCATATCACTTTACAAATTAAGATAATTATGTAATAATGATGCGTTTACTTAATTCAGGTAACTTTTCTATTGTAATAATTTTCAGTATTTCAAGTATTAACGCATTATTCTTGTCTTTATTCACAATTCATAGTGTATATGTATAAGTTTCTATCCAATTTAACACAATGAATACGACTACATACGTATTTTTCAATTTTTATAATTTCAAAAATTTTAGTATTAGTGTACCAGTTTGACAGTATGTTCAGTATATATAATTTTTGATGTATATTAATTTTTATGCTGGTGTGCGTGTGCTATATTGACGTGAGTTTTTCGGTACACAGCTAACTTGGTAATTGGATAAAGAAGAATGAGCAGTGTCGTTTCTTTGGAAATTGCGAATAGTATGTAAGCGGATGTAGGGTATATTATATTGATAAGGACCCAAAAATAGGGGTCGAAACGTTTATTTATTTAATTTGTGATATGACTTGTTTAATTACACGAAAATAAATTGTACATCCGACTAACTGATTTTTGGCTTTGATGGGCTTGCTTATTATTATTATTACTTAAATGGAGAATTCCTGCAAAAATTTATATTTATTACTTAAAAAAATGGAGAATTCCTGCAAAAATTTATTTATATTATTATTGATAGATTCTTTCAAGCCTTTTTTTAGATATTTGTCCATTTAAGTAGTCCTGGAACTGTCTTGTAGAGTTAGCTTTAGGTTCCGCGAGTGTGTCCGTGTACGGAATCTCTATATCCATGCGAGTACCGCTTCTGACGCCGATTTTGGCAAGTTCATCCGCCTCTTCGTTCATGTATTTTAACTTACAGATATAATTTCTCTCTCCCTCCCTCTCTCTCTCTCTCTCTCTCTCTCTCTCTCTCTCTCTCTCTCTCCTTCTCTCACTCTCAAAATTATAATAAATACATTTAGTTACATTTATAAGAAATATGTATTTATTTGTACATCATGTAACCTTAAGTTAAAAAAAATAATTTTTTATACATTTAGTGATTTTAGGATCTATTTAGTTATAACAAACATATGTATTTATTTTTGTACTGTGTATCAAACCTTAACTTAAAAACAATTTTTATTACCCGTGTTGCAAATAAAACAAACATATTTAATTAAAACATATTTACTCATGTAATAGATTTGTTTGGATTGTTTCGTTATATTAATAAACATTAGCTGCATTCAACTAAATGGAGCATTTAGTATATAAATTTAAAAGAAAAAAATAATCTTCTTCAATATTAAGATTAAATAAAATATATAATTAGAATTAAATAAACAAAATATAAAATAAATGGAAGCACAAGCAACAAACATAGGAACAATGTAATACTGTGTTTAATCAGCTTGATAATTTTTAATTATATTCAATATAGCAATTAAACAATCTACTTGTTTCATAAGTGGCACTTTATCAAATGCAGCTACAATGCTCTCAGCAAAAGGGTTTCCTTTATATTTTTGTTAATTTATTTCGTCAAGACTACGTTTAGAAATAGATTTATGCACAACTGTTGCAAGATTAGTTAAGGCTGAGGTTGACTGTGCCAAGGGGTTTTCTACATCACTATCATTCTTTTGCTTCTTTTTTGCAAAAGCATCTAAATCAGGCACTTTTTTCTTTTTTAAAAGGACGGAATTAGTTTCAGGCTTTGATTGAACATAATCATAGCTCTTAGAACTCTCATGTACTGAGCTAATATTATTGTCAATAACATCTGTACTAACGTTCTGCACGAAACTCTCACATCCTGAGCTAGTATTATTGTCAATAACAATATCTGTACTAACGTTCTGCACGAAACTCTCACACCCTGAGCTAGTATTACTGTCAATAACAACATTTACACTATCGTTCTGTACAGACTCAATAATGCATGCTTTGCTGCTTACAAATGAATGTGGTACAGGGGAAGAAATCTTGAATAACGTAGATGATGTAGACAAATGTTGATTTCCCATAGAACTACGACCTCTGTAATAAATACACATGTTTGTTGACTAGCAAAAATATTTTTTTCAACAAAATGCTCACCTTCGGTGACTAATATGTGGGATCAAAAATGACATAGGTCCCATGAGATACCATTCCACTTTTTTAGCTTTTTCTCCTCCACCTGATCCACTGGCCGGCTTTGCCTTTATTTCTCTTAGTCTTTTTCCAAAATAATTTCGCAATTGGTTCCATCTATTCTCTACTTCTTCAGCTGTATGAACAAAGAAGTTAAGATAAACAAACTGTAAATTACACATTTTAGCACATGCACAAACATTAACATACCTGATGACATTCCACACTGTATTTTAATCATATTCCAGGTATCCTTTTTTACTTCCTGGTTTTTATAATCCGGGTACTTTTTGTCGTACAACACCGGATTCTCTTTCACTAAAGCGACTAGAATTTCGTCTTGCACGGTTTCGTTCATCGTGCCTTCTAACATTATCACGCTCGAGTTTTCCATTGTTACTACGTATTTATTAACTAATTTCTTATTTATTTAATTAATAAGATTTATTTACAGGTTCACACTATCACAGTCATCGAAAGTCCGCGCACGATGTCTTGTTGATACTCTTTCTTTTCGTCGCTGATTGGCTAGAAATGATACGTAGGCCATAGACTTTATTCTTTAAGCCGTAAGAATTGGGTTTTGCGCAATTCACTTAAATCTTAGGGTGCCGTCCCATGTACACGGAATCGGAACGACGGAACGGATTTCTTACTAGAAAATTTGAGATCACTACAATTCCGTTCCGTAAGAAGTTTCTCTACCCGTCCCATGTAGCCGGAACGGAATGAAAATGGACGGAATGTCGCCTCGGTCGCAAGTTAATTTGCCTAATTTAATCGATATTTCGTTATTTTAATGCGACTAAAGCAGTAATATGCATAATTTGTGCAATTATCTTACTTATAACATTACTTTGAATACTTAAAAATACTGAATTGTAAGAGTGAGATATATTATGTTACCAAAATTCCATTGCGTTCCGGCTACATGGGACGGGTAGAGAAACTTCTTACGGAACGGAATGGTATGTTCACCTCAGATGGTTGAATGTGAAATTAAAACAAATATTCAGAAACCTTTTTTTTGGAGATTACAACGATGGACGAAGAAGTAGTATTAACTGTGATGTTAAAATTATTGCGAAATGCAAGAAATATGCCAAGTTGGCGTGCTATTCTGATATTTAAGAGAGTACGAAAATTATATTTCGCTTATAATATTTTATTACAAAATAAAAAATATACAAGAAAACGAAAATTTTGGGTACGGCCAATGTTTACACAAAGAATGAGACTTCTTCAAGGTGCAAGTGACAATTTAGTCGTTTTATAACGGGGGTACGCTTCTGTGGCAACTTAAAATTCCAAAGAGCTGGCCTCCGCTCTACGGCATCAATTAGCATCTCGTCCTTGGTGTCAACTGATATAGTACATTCGTTACTCTCCGATGGTGGAACATCGATATGCATATTTTCATTTGTATCCTTGATTCCTGTTTATATATAAGTAAATATACTTACTGAATATGTTGAATATTTGCAAATAAATCATAAGAAAAATGTTCTCACAAATAAACATACTTATTGTAGCACGTCCTGTCTTGTCAATAGAGAGGACATGAATATTTTCGTCATAGTTTTTAAAACATTGATGAGCTTGAATCTCTGCACAAGACCCGAACATGAGCCAGCCACAGTAACCACATTTTACTGCCTGAAAAAAATTAATACATTTATTAGGAAACGCATAATTTCAAATATATTGCCCAAAAATTTCAGGGTTTTTGGTAAATAAAACAAAAACTACTATGTATATAATAAATATACATACAAATAATTGAATGAAATTGTCAATTTATTCTTATCTCAATTTACTATTACATAACCTAACCTTATTGTTGACTTGATAATATTAACTTATTTCATGATTATCAAGGTAAAATACTGTATAAAATTATTATTACCGGTCCTTCGTTATTGCTCATTTTATTTTAATTTTAATAACCCGATCGACATATATCTGCCACATGCAACCGATGTAACATTCCGTTGATTCCGTTGTACCGTTCTGGTCATAGTTCCGATGGTTCCGATACAGCAGAGAAACTTCTTATAGTACGGTTCCACTGAGCGCGTCACGCGTCGCGTTATGAAAGAGAGAAAGAGATAAGATTATATAAATACATAACCCCTCTCTTTCTCTCCTTCGACGACGTGACGCGCTCAGTGGAACCGTACCCTTATGGAACAAAATGCTAGTGAACTTATTTCTAGTAAGAAATCCGTTCCGTCGCGTCGTTCCGATTCCGTGTACATGGGACGGCACCCTTACGGTTAAGATCTAAAGACTGCGCGGGAACATCTTAAAGTTTGGAAATACGTCACTTAAGACTTAAGGTTTATGGCTTAGGGTTTCTTAAAGCGAGGTTGTGGACCTAGCCTTATATCTTCTAAGTAGCGAAGACTGTTAATCATAGAATTGCCGCTCTTTGAGAAACGCTTTAGAAGGAATCTAGACGACAGCAATCTAAATCTGTTCCTTAAGGGGGACTCCTTAGCCTCTGCAAGCATTATATTGTTCGGGGTAGAGATTCGATATCCCATAGCGATTCTGATAGCCCTCCATTGGAGGCGTTCCAAGCATCGAAATAACGTTTGATTTCGTTGAAATTGGAATACCTGTCAGCCGTATTCGATGGAGCCTCTGAACACGGCGCGATAAATTGTTAGGAGCGAATGGGGGTTTGAACCCCACCAAACTCCCGACAAAGAGGATAGGATGTTAACAATCGATCTGCCTTTCTGAATTAGATAGATGAGATGTTTCCTGCCCGTCATCTTCGCATCCAGCCAGACTCCCAGAAACTTAAAGGAATCCGAAAGAGGAATGATTTGATCCCCCACTCTAATCTGCTGAAAGTCTGGAATCTTATTCTTACGTGAAAAAATTACGCATCGAGATTTGTCTGGAGAGATCTCGAGGCCCTTTGCACGTAGATAAACTTGTATGGAATCTAAAGTATTTTGCACAGATTCGACGGCCTTCGTGAGGTTAGTGTCGTGAGCGAAGATCGCTATGTCATCTGCGTACTGCAGCATAAGAGACTTGTCTCGAATACAGTCAGTTATATCGACGAGATAAATGTTAAATAGAATCGGACTTAGAATTGATCCTTGTGGGATACCCTTGTGAATTACATATGGTTCGCTCAGTCTGCCATTTTTAACAAAAAAGACCTCTCTCTCCGAGGTCAAATTCTGAATAAACTTGCGCAATTTGGCCGGGATACCAAGGTTCCTCAGTGCGTCAACGAGGATAGAGGGAATGACGTTGTCGAAAGCGCCGACAATGTCGACAAATACGCAGACCGTGAATTGGCCAGCCAGATTGGCCGTATGAATATGATTAGTTAGGGTCGTAAGATTGTCAATGCACGAGCGAAGGGGCCTAAAGCCCATTTGAATTTCAGGAATGATCAAGTGGGATTCAACCCACCACCTTAACCTAAAATAAACGACCTTCTCCATCAATTTAAGTAAGCAGGATACAAGAGAGATTGGCCTAACTCCGTTGCTGTTTGGCTTAGGTATGAGAACCACGAGGGACCTTTTCCAGGAATCAGGAGTGACTCCCGAGTCCAGGAAGCCGTTAAAAATGTCTACAAGGGCGTCTGTGACCTCCACGGGGAGAGATGAAATGATCTTATTATCAATCTGATCCAGACCCAGAGCCGAGTGTTTCTTAACTTCTTTAAGAGCGATGGCAACCTCCTTACTGGTAATCGAGTTCCGTGACCAAGTTATGAGAATTGGTTGAGTCCTCTCTGAGCATGTCCGGGAGAGAAGGAAGTATACCGTGCAGGCAAGAAGGGGGACATAGCTTCTCAATGGCATTGTCGCACGCACGTGACAGATCACAGCCAGATTGACGTTCTGGAATTATATTCGAGTTTAAGTTTCTGTTTTTAAAGGATCGGACCAATGACCACAACCTAACCTAGACGAGGGCGTGCGGCAGTTGAGGCTCTCACAGAACTTCCTCCAGCCTTTCCTTTTTTCCTTGCGTAAAGAGTGGTTAATGCGGATTGTTTTTGTATTCAAGATAACTCTCCCAGGTGAGGGTTTTTTTGTAAGTCTCAGTGGCAGACTTCCTTGCTATTACTGCCTCCTGGCAAACGTCATTCCACCATGGTGGTTGTGAATTAGACCCAGACATACTAAGACTGCTCGGCGCCTTAGCCTTGTCCGGTACAACGGCGCTAATTCCAGAGTTAATTTTCCGGACCAGTTCTTCATAAGCTTTCAGGGGATCTTCCGAAGAGTCAGCGTCGGTCGCTGATGATTCATTGTGGAGAAAAGAATTAAGCCTATCGAGTTCCTCTTTATTTAAATGAATTTTATACTTAAATTTAGATCTCCTTTGGAACGAACCCCCGATCTGTATATACACTCATACGCAAAAAAAACGGGCCACTTAAAATTTAGCACTAATTTTTAATATTTTCAAATAGCAATAACTCAGTGAAAATTCATCGTAGCG